TGCTGCGAGACACTTTACGAGACAAATTTTTGGAGAGATGCGTCTCTGATAATGATCTCGGTCTCAATGAACATGAACATTTTTGCTCTCATCTCAGTCTCGAAATAGGGATCGACTACTTTCGTGATGACTCCGAGTCAATTTATCTCATCTCGGTCTCAAGTTTTTTTTAAACCAAAATCTCGGTTTTTGTCTGGGATTGTCTCGTCTCGGCTTTCTACATACACTGTTGGAAATTTTTTGAAATTTAAGTAACAGATGCATTTAAATTTTCAATTTTCGGAACTTGAATTTAATTTCAGACTAAATTGCTTATGGAATTCATGATTCATCTTGGAAATTCAATAAAATTAAGTTTATCATGATGAATGATCATTGAATTTTCAATGACAATTTGGATTTTCACACATATCGCGAAAATTAAGCATTATATTCTATTGAATTTCCAAGAGATTAAAAATTCAGAAGTAAAGTTGCCTTAATTGTCACGATCTTCAGTAATTTTCATTGTCGTATGAACCTGAGAAATCAAATTTTATTGAATATTCAAGAACATTGACTGATTTATCAATAACAAGATCAATGGAAATTCCATGTAAATTATTTGTTGTTAAAAATTTCAAGATTTTATACTTGAAATTTCAGGAGTAATTTTCTGACAGGGTATAAAAAACGCGAAAAACTGGAAACCAAGATGAGATAAATTGATTCGGATTCATCACGAGAAACGAAACCAAAAATTTCCGTGTTCACTGAACAATCCCTCCAAAGTATTGTCTCGTGATGTTCCGTAAAATATCTCACGGCGTTGCTAATAGTGATAAAAAATTATACATTACATTATTCCTTAATTACTCCACTTCCTTATAACTACTTAACAGTCCATATTTTATGATCAATCGATGCGGAGACATTTTGACGTGTGATTTTCCAAAAACGGGTGTAAATAGCATATCAGACTATTGAAGGTACAATTTATAAGAGTTAGGGCGAACAGGCTAATTGCTGGACGGTTAAGGGAAATTCGAGTTCCGTGCACTGCAAAAACGAATGTTTAAATTTCATACACCTTTTGTATACATTTTTCAGACACTAAAAAACGTCTAAATGAAATGAGAATTTGTCAGAATTTCAAATATGAATTAAGATGTTCTGGCAACTGTTCGTCTGAAATTCAGACACATTTTCATTTTATTCAGAAGTTTTTCAGTGTCAAAACGTTTTTCGGTGAAATTCCGACATTCGTTTTTGCTGTGTGGTAAGATCTGAAATTACAGAATCACCTAAATGAGAATATGATGGTTTCCATACCTTCAAGAATATTTTAATTACCAGAGAAATACTATATTTCGTGTCGAAAACCCTAGTGGCGCTAGGCGCGAGCGATATTTTTCCGTAGTGACTTTCACTTTTGCCAGTTCGAGGAAGGGTCAATACTAATCCCCGGACTGGGAAAAGTGAAGGTCAGTACGGAAAAATTATTTAAAGTCAAAATAACAAAAAGAATAATCAAATAAAGAACCAGTTGAATGCAGCCGAAATCCCTAATTTTTGGACGACTGGGCCATATTTTTTTTATTCATTAAATGGCGATCAAAAAAAAATAATAATAATTGATCGCAAGATTATACATGAGTAATATTACTGAAAAATGAAATAATCGGTACAATTTTCATTTGGTTTTTTATGGAATATTCAATGGAAGTAGAAATCGTCCAGAAACTAACCCCCGTCTAGAAATTGACCTGTTTACCCTACTGGCGAAGACAGTGAATAAAGTACCTTGAGAGCCTCCCCTCCCCCGTTAGAATACAAATGTATAAAATGTAAAAAAATTAAATCTAACATCGACCTGTTGTGAGTCCTGCACGAGCCAGGACTAGAGATAAATCGCCCGGTGCGCTCTTATATATCCATCTGGTATGGACCAATCCAAGGGGTGGGCCACGAACCCCATGATTCCAACAGACACCTTCCGCCGTAGTAGATCGCTCCGTTGGAGAGGGGGGGGGGGGTTGACTGGGAAACTAGGATAATTAAATAAAAAGGAAATTGAGGTACGTTTAAAACGTCAGAGCATGTTGCCAACACGAAGAGAAAAATTCAATAAAAATTACCAGAAAAAAAACGTAAAAATTACGTTTCGAAACGTAATCGTGAGTGAAGTAAAATTCAGTAAAAAGTGTGAGTCGGAACTGAAATTATACGAATCGTTTTAATAAATTCTACGATTTGTTCCGCAAAAATTAACCACCCGTCTGACGACTCTCCGCTGTGGGGACAACAAGTCGTTCCGTAATTTTTCCCCAACGATTGAGAAATTTTATGGAATGGAACGTAGAAATAACTCACCACTTTCATAAAAATTGTTGAACGTTCAAGAATTTTCGATTTTGAAGGCATAATAAATCGGGAAGTGTCTGTAAGATTTTACTTCTTCGGGAAAAATTACATGACAATTTCGTACTTTGTTCGATGATGAATCTGAGAATTCGCTGAACGCTTCAGATTTCTTCTCTTCCATTCCTATAAAAATCGCCGGAAAACGATTCCCCATTGCGGATTACGTGAATTGTTCCGTAATTTTTACTGAATATTTCCCTCCGTGAAGGACATTCACTTCTGGGAATCACAATCCTCCATCGATCCTTTTCAATCCTTTTTGCTCTATCCATTGTCGATAGACCAGAAACTATGATCCCTTTGACAATCGATGATTCATCACCGGAATCGCTCGATATGTAATGGAATGGGCTTATTACAATCGTTGGAAGCCTTTGCCTTGAGATTTGTCTTAGTTGAATTTTTGCGCTACACTGTTAGTAAATTACTCTTAAAATTTCATGTGAAAAACCTCGAAATTTTTGACAGCAACAAAGCTACATGAAATTTCTGTATATTTATTGATTGACGAATCAGTTAATTTCTTGAATATTCAAGTAGGGGAGAGTCGGGCAAAATGGGACGTTTCGTGATCTTCCCTAATTGTCAATATTATCACTTATAAATGAAGATATCCTCTACTTGAGGTATTTTTCATTGCATTACATGTCGCCGTTTTCAAATTTGCCGAGATTTTGTGAATGATTTTCCCTCAATTTTTCTCCCCATGAATCAAGGTCTCTGGTGTGAATACCGCCAATGGGGGATACCACACACTGATAGAATGATTTATTTATTCCAAACGAGATTCGTTAACTATTAACGAATGGTAGAGTTGAATATGACCAAATGAATATTCGTTAATAGTTAACGAATGGTTCACTTGAATGGCGAAAGTCAAGTCAAACAAGGCTCCTCAAATATACATTCGTTAACTATTAACGAATGAACATTTGGTGGGACCGAATAGACCCTAACCTCCAACCAAAATCCATTCGTTAACAATAACTAATCCGTTCTATCAGTGCAGCTTTCAGGGAGTTCCAGGAGATACTGCGCAGGACGCGTTCCCTTTTTTACATGGCGGGATCTCCATTAGACCTACACCATGGTACTACTCTCACATTCGACAGGTGGTATGTACCTACTCCCATTTGAAATTTCAGCTGACCCACTTTATTGCTTAAAAGTCAACGTGAAGGTATTCTAAATATCACGAAGACGTGCAGGACAATGAAATTCAAAGAATTTTAGGGTCAAAGAATTATGGAAACAATCTTTCATAATTCTGTATTTGTTAAAGAACTTATTTTCATGTTTTGTTATGCTTTCTCAACGTTTCTGTGGTATCATAAGTTTATCGTGTTATAAGTAATAGAAAACAAGACAAATTAAATTTGTTACTTGGGAATTTAAACGGAAATTTCACTTTAGACAAGAAATTTTAATTATTATCATGTTGGAAAAACATTTAGAAGACAGCGATTACCGAAAAATCATCCATTGAAATTTCCGGTAAGAGTTTTGTAAATTTATAACAAGTAATATTTTTACTTCAATTTCAAGGAATTTTGTCATTGGAAATGAATAATTTCATCTAAAAATCCGTGGGAGCTGCAAATGTCAATTTAATTGTTTACGGGAAAATTAGAGGAAAATCGGAAAAATTCAGGGATATCTCTCCGTGAATTTAAGATTGCTCCGAATTTTCAGGGAATTCTTTCAAAATTCCGGGAATTCAAAGAATTTTAAAAGGATTTCCTGAAAATTCAAGGGAATTTGCCAGTGAATATTCAGTTCCATTGGAAAAATCATGTAAATTGCGGAATTTCTGACTTCATGCCGCTAAAAAATTGGGACTATACTTAAATTTTCAGAGAAACTTGAGATCCCATTGACTTTTTCCCTTTAAAACGAATTCAAGATTTTTTTCCGGAAAATTCAGCCAAATTTTTTTTGAGAGTGTATGTCCTTGAAGTAGTATATTTCAATACAAGTGTGTAAAAGTGTTTTTTTACCTAGATATATACTACACGGAGAGAAATGTTCAGTAAAATTACGGAACTCTCAGTTCGCTCACCGATTACGGAATCAACTCAGAAAATTTAAGTGACAGTATCGTAATGTTTCACGGAGACTCAGGTAAAAATTACGGAACGCTCTGGAAAAATTTCGCGATTTTAGGTAAAAACCGCCATATTTCGCTCCGGAATTACGGAAAAGATACGTAATTTTTATTGAATATTTCTCTCCGTGTGTATTCAATACAAGCGCAACTTTCCACTTATTTTTCATGACAAAAGTAATGAAAGTTATTCCTGCAATTAGTTACCGATTTTAAATGTAAAAATTAAATCATAATTAAATATTATAAATTTGGTTATCCCTGATTCAACCCCCGTAATCACGATTCTGCATCGATCAATTAAAAATCACGCACGCGTGGAAGACGAACTCATCGACCCTCCCGCCCTACCCATCGTCGATAACCCAGAGGCCTCGATCCCCTTGAGAATCGATAAATTATCAATGGAATGTCTACCTTCCGCTGCCCGTACTTCCATCACTCCTCGCCGTCCCTTGACGTCTCGGTGGCACTGTCTGGTTGGGCCAGAAAAGCCCCCATTACGTCGCCTCTCTACGCGTATCCCGCTGATTTGCATTTGCATTCGTGACTCTGTCCGATAAGTGGTCGCGTTTTGATCCAAGAAATTTCTTGGAATAAATTTGAATGAAAGACTGAGGGAGCGTGCGTGCCGAGGGGGGGAAACACAAAAACTGAGGCTAATTCCCACGTCGAGACGTCATATACTTTTTTCATATGCCTGTGAAAGTTGTGAATAAAACAGAAGAATGCGTTTTTCATCGTTTTATGTGGTGATTCTGAGTATTCTCGGGGCCGTGGGAGCTGAATCTGCCGAATGGAACACCAAGGATTTTATGAAAAGGGAGCATTCCCTCATCAGGCCTTATCAAGGTGAGTTTCACCCTCAATTCATTCACACTGCACTGGTCATACTTCAATTTAGATGTCCACTGATAACTGCTATCGGCGTTTCAGAGGTTAGGATTGTTCCAGAACAAGCTTACGTGGCTTTGTCCTGTTATTCCACTAGTCATGACTATTTACGACTAGTTTTCCATAATGCATAGTCTCTCGTGTTGCTTCATTTATTGATGCATTTTCAAAATGATTTTTTTTTCGGTGTTTTGCATCGTTTCTTGCAGGCATGGGGATGACTATACCTTACTGGGACTTCATGGGGAGTACTATGGTGACGAACGACTATATTAGACTCACAGCGGACCTTCAGAGCCAGCAGGGAGCCCTCTGGAACTCGGTGGTACGTGATGAATAATTTCAGAGCTTTCCAGAGAGAACAACAATTATTTTTGCCAAATATCCATTTACTTGAGAGAAGTATTCGTTTTTTCATTCATTTATCATTCCCAGACAATCCTCATTGAGTTTCATTTATGTTAATTATATTGTTCTAGAAGACTATCATGTTAATGAGAATGTCGAATGAACTCCTTCAATAATTATCAACATTAAAAAATTGATCGAAATTTTTGCCTCGACAAAATACGAAATTTAGCAAAAATGAATAATCATTAGAGTTCATCCAACGTCATGGGCAAAATACTTCTCTGGAGCAACATGACTGTTATGACTCGATTGGAGAAATACGATTTTGAAAAAAATAGATGCTTCTCTCAAGTGAATGAATATTTGGCAAAAATATTTTTTTTTCTCGGTGTCCTTACACGTTTTCATTGGAATTTCCTTTCAGCCATGCAACGTGCGCAACTGGGAGATCCAGGTGCACTTCAAAGTTCATGGAAAGGGTCGGGATCTCTTCGGGGATGGGTTCGCGATATGGTATGCTAAGGATAAGATGCAGTCTGGACCTGTTTTTGGGAATCAGGACTATTTCCATGGATTGGCTGTCATTTTGGACACTTACAGCAATCATAACGGTCCTCACAATGTATGTTATTATTTTTTGTTGTTGTAGATAATATCTGTTTTATTCTAGTTTATTCAGAGATGTAATAGACCAGAATGACTTCACATCTCGTTGAATACTTGTAATATTAGGGGACGAGCGAGAAAAAGGCGTTCGAATTTTTTTTAATGTTAAAACCTTAACATTGTTTAACTGCTGATGGAATAGAATAATTGTTTTTTCCTGGGAGAGTACTTTTCTCTATCTTTGTTCTAAGTCAAGTCTGAATTCAATTCATCAATTTAGTCCTGAGTTATAAATATTTTAAAAATGCCTGAAGTGTTCATCTTGTCCCCCCCCCCCAACTTTTGTAATTTCAAGTAAAAAATTTTCTGTGCCGAAATCTACATGAAATTTATGTATATTTCTTCATTGAGGAGTCAGATAATTTCGTGCATATTCAAACAATTTCTACACAGTAAAATTTTCATCGTAAAAAGTACTGAACTCTCCTGTAAATCGCGGGAGACAATAGGTGGATAAAAATCAAAAGGAATTGATGAAAAACTAATAAGATGCAATGAAAAATTAATATACTCACATGAAATTTCGACGAACGTGGTTCAGTAATTTTTGACACGTCAACAGTGCCTTCTTTGATGTACTATTGTGTGAGGTTCAGTAATCCTTGCACTCTTTTTAAGTATATTACTTAAGATTCATTTGAATTTACAATTTTCTTAATTGCATCTTTGAAAATCTAGGAAAATTAGAAGAATTTTCATAGAGTAAGAAAACCTTGACTTTTGCTCTTGACATTAACACCATTTTTTCTCGAGATAAATGCCCAGTTAACAAAAATCTAGGGTTTTTTCTTATAAAAATATCGTGTTTACAAAAGTTACAGAAATTTCCTTTCAATTCCAAGACATTTCATGAATAGTGATCTGCAAATGGAATTGCTTCATCTCGTTACTGATTCGTATGCATGCTTCCATTTGCAGCATCAACATCCCTACATCTCAGCAATGGTGAACAACGGTTCTCTCCATTACGACCACGATAGAGACGGCACCCACACACAATTAGCCGGATGTGAAGCGAAATTCCGGAATCTTGAGCACGATACACACATTTCTGTTAGATACGAAGGGGACACCCTCAGTGGTAAGGAATGAAAAACATTGATCTATTGTATTTGTATGTTAAATATTTATCGAAACATTGTGCATTGACAATGACATAGCACTATAAGGAGAGACCGCGATGAAATTGAAAGTCTATTTCATCATTTTTGCGTCAAGTGAACTTTTACGAAAATTTTGCGTAAAGAGAATTTTTTGTGCGCAAAATTTCACTTTTCAAACATTGTGATGAAAAATAGGGTTCCAAACTCGTGCCACGAGTGTTCTTTAAAGTGTAAAAAAAAACATTTACGTATTCGTATCGGAATATACTATTTTAGTCTCTTCATCCTCACTGGGTGAATCAAAAAATTAAACTTACCTCTTTTCTGTCACCACCAGTTCTTATAATTTCGTTGAAAATGAAATAACAGTATTCTAAACTCCTTTTTTTCAATTTTTCGTGATCGCAATTGATAGCTAATGAATATTCTATGAAAATGAAAAACAACGTAAATTAATTCTACAATTGAAAGGAAGAGAAAATACGTGAAACGTATGACCCCGCTAACAACCCAGTTACACTGTCGTTAAAAAAAATTATGGCTCTGAGAAAATGAATTCTATTCAAGATTCTTGAGTCTAAGGAGACTCGTTAACTCCCATCGCTACCGTTAAATTTTTAATAGGTTTTAATCAGTTGATTAATTGGCAGAACAGCTGTAAGACAGCCTCGATACTATTTCATGGGCCATCAAAACTTGAGTTATTCACGTTTATCGTTGTTGAAATTGTACAGGGTTTAGTGACAGGCAATTTTCATGATTTCAGTATCAACGGATATTGATAATAAAGCTGCCTGGAAGCCATGTTTCACGGTCAGTGGTATTAAATTACCCACTGGATATTACTTTGGGGTGACAGCCACCACTGGTGACCTTTCCGATAACCATGATATTCTTTCTGTTCGTTTGTTCGAGTTGGATTTACCTAATGATGTGAGTATAATAGTCCTGAATTAGTACCTCATAGATATTTAAGTACTTGGGCCATTTTCCTTTTGTAATGCTCCTTTGAATTTTTGAATGGGCCTCAGCACTTGTAATGTGACCTCGGCAATTCCAATGCAATGACTTTATTATTCACTCTTTGAAAATCTGAATTTGCATTCCATTTTGAGGAGTCAAGAAACACTTTAAAAATTTCGAAAAAGTTGCAAAGTCCACTTTTTAAACAAGACTCATAAAATAAGTGATAAACTGCAGCTTAAAAACATTACTAACTTTTCAATAAATAATTCACAAAGAATCAATTGCCAAAAGCCATTTCCTTTTACGAAATTTAATCGATAAATTTGATGTGTGAAAATTTCAAAATCTATATCGAAATTTACACGAAACTGTAAGAGTTCTTATAATTAGGGTCGCTCTTAAATTCCACCAGGCAATTTCATCCCGAGGTGTTCAATCATGTCAATGTATTCTTGTCCTTCAAAAATTTTTTTCATCGCCACGACCATTTTTATTTGTATGACATTTAACTTTATCATCACCTACTTTCATCATTTATCACATTCTTCGTGACGTGAATATAAATAGAGACATGAAAATTTAATTTTGTGAATTTCCCCGCAGCCAAAAGATACAGAAGACAGGTCGAATATAATCCCCTCAGCGACATTCTTCGAGTCCCCGAGGGATCACGTGGAGGATCCAAAACCCTCGTCACTCAGTGGCATAAAAATATTCCTCCTGATGTTGGTTGCAGCAATTGCCCTCATCGCCTGTGTCGTTATCGGTGTTATGTTCTACCAGAAGCACCAGGAGAACAGTCGAAAACGATTCTACTGATGACTCAGTAGCCCAACAATCCAATAAAATCAATAATCAATAGTTATGGAATTTCTATGAAATGCCTGCATGCGAGTGAGTGAATGCATAAATTGTTTGCTTGTCGAATTATTATTTTTTAGATATTGAGGGGATCCAGGGACTCATCCAATCGATTGTAGATAAACTCAGTGAATGTGTAAAATATTTAAACGTCAAATGTTTTGTAATTCCCCCACTCGGAGTTTTTAAATTAATCTGATGTGTCATAATAAAATATTTAAGTGCATAATTGAGACTGTCACGAGGGCAGGTTCAATTGTCAAAAGCAACTCTGGGGATTTTTCCTTTCCTTCCATGCCCACTTGAAATTAAAAGAGTAACTTTTTTCGGAATTCCGTGGTTTTACAAGTAGTTCAGAATCCAGGGAAGTAATTAGATTGTAATGAATACTCCTCTGCTGCCGGTGATACAAATCATCACACGAGTTGACACTCACAATTTTATTTTTTTATTTTGAAGAATTAGACTAAACGAACCTATTACCAATTGATAAATTTCCATTGGTTCTGCTCCAATTGCTATCCATCGATTTAATTATTTTATTTATAAAATTGAATTAACTATGAGTAAGCCATATCAGTCACGTCAGGTACATCGATGAAGCATAAACACCGATTTTATATTTGTAAAAGTGTAAATAAACTAAAATCAATTCTCCACCTGATAAACGGAGATACTGACTGATTCGAGGATGTTTTCCTCTTCACGCTACCCTAGAAACAATACACTTTTTAAACTTATAAAAATAATCAGGAGATATGTAAATCGATTTAAGTGACCGATGTATATTATTATACAAATATCAATAACGCGTAATACCTGTACAGATGTTTTGTCGACGGAAATGCCAAATAAATGATTGTTCATAAACGAAAAACGTGCGTAATTGTTTTTGTCTTCATGGAAAATTAGCAAAATTTGCGAATTATTATCTCATAGTGTATCGTTTGATATTATTGTGCACAATTGGATCAATTTGAAGAAATCGTCGGAATAATTACAATACTTCCATCCGGAAGCAAAAAAAAATTCAATCATTCGAAATGAAAATATATTTCGTGAATATAAAAATAATCCTTCATTTACAAATGTCATGTGACTTTGAAATAAGCTGTAATCATGTTACATTAAACTGCAGTTCATTCTTCACTGATATTTCCTCCTAAAAATAACAAAAAATATATATGACTACTTCTTAGACTCTGACTCAATCGTGAGATCTAAGATTGGCACATCGAGATGGTTTCTACGTTAGATTGAAAATCCACTTGGGATTACCAGCGGGAAAAATAATACTATTTTTATTCACTTAACTCTCCCATTCTTACAAGGCACATTCAACTCTGGAATGAATTTTTCAACTTGACTCGTGTCAATCCATCAATCCAGACAGCTACATAAACATCGATAGCACCTACAGTTATTTTTTTTATCCCCTTTGTAAAGTAATTACAAGTAAGAAAAATATTTTATGCACATACTATGGACATGTGCAGACCTAATGAGGTACTGGATGATTAATCAATTAATTAAATACAGGTGATGTGTGTGTCATGCTACAGGGGAGATAACTCACAACGAGAATACACGTTTTACATTGAATAGGAGAGATATTCCTGCAATCGGTTCTCGGAAAATTACATTTTTCATGAAAGTGCGGAGCGCCCAATTTTTCCAAGTTTTCGACAAGAAAAACGCCTCTTGCTTAACTACATAATGAAATATTGTATATTACACATGGAAAGAGCAGTTTTCAGCTTGTAAAGTAATTAATTTTTTAAATTGTAACAAATCGCGGACTTAACTGGACTTGATCAATACTATTTCAGATCAATTAACAAAATCCCAAGGAAACACCTAAAATCCTATGAAATATGGACTGAAATCCTCTGAAACCCTTCCAAATTCATTCAAAGCTTGCAGATTTCTGATGATTTTATGAAATCCCATAAAAATGACAAAAATATTTAAAAAATCTTCAACTATTGAACAATTTAATTTCATTTTAACTAATCACTTCTGTTGACATCTTCCCACAGAAATTCCTGATCATGAAATTCATAAATTTTCATACTATATGTTCTTCGCTTCGTACTATCAAATTCAATGAAAAAAAAACTGAAAAATTAAACCCAGGAATTTTGTCACGCGTGAACAGTCCGAAATCTTGAAATTCTCCTCCAATCCTTGAAAAGTATATGAAATTGACGGAAAACTTTTATCGTAATGACAACCCCCCGCCGAAAGCCGTACTGTTCTCACTCGTCCCTAAATCACTTGAAAACGACTAAAGGATTCAATAAGAAATTCAAAACAGTCTTGATCCCGAGAACAAGTGTCCTAGTGACAACCCCAACAGAGACCCTACACCCCCTCTCCCGTTTGCTCGGCTCAAGATGAATAACATGGCAAGCACTGCAGGCGACCTCCTCGAGGTGCACCATGGGCCTAGCTCCCCCCAGAAGCGACTCCCCCTCGCCCCCTTGATTCGTCAGTACCCCGGAGAACTGTATCTTATCCCCAGGATAAATATTCAAACTGAAATTCATGAACGAGTGATCCCCAACTAAAACGATCTCCGCATTGCTCCCCCAGAGTCCATTCTTCATCTTCACAAAGATCTCAAACTCATACCTATTCCAATTGTTAACCTGGCACTTTCTCCTCTGCATTTTCCCAATCATCTCGCAGGTACTCCTCCTGGTGGGATCCAGCCCCTGACAGAGGCCCTCATCCACCGGCACCCCAAAGACACAACTGAGCCTGCTCTCAATGCCCTCAGGCAATCTCCTCAAGACCCCTGCAACGCTGTTCTCAACCGTCTTGACCCTGATATTAGTGACATATCCCTCCCAGGCGACTGTGATCCCCTCCAGCTGTGCGCACTGCACCTGAACCTGAGCCTTGGACGAGAGTTCCTCCCAGGCAGGCTGATGGCAGTGATTCTGATACTGCTCCCACGTCAACATGGAAGCCCCTGAATGCCCAATAACCCCCTCCTCGCCATTCTTGTACTCAAGTATAACCGGCCAGCAGAGAAAGACCCCAGCAAGTGCCCCCACGACCAACTGCACATACGTGATAACCCAATTGAACCTGGACCCCCTGACCCTTCTCAAGTACCAGGAGGCAAGGAAGGGCAGTCCCCCCACCGCCACAGTAATCCCAATCTTCATGGCAACATCACTGTCCGACAAGTACCTGGCAGCGGCTACAATGGGCAGCAGAACCGACGCCAGTCCAGCAATAGGCAAAAACAAAACCATTCCAACGAGTGCCAGCGCCCCCCTGATCAATCCATACCAAGTGGCCCCTTGAGAGCTCAAAATGGCAATCTGCCACCAGCTCAGGGTCACACAATGAGGTATAAGTGTCCTGTAAGTGCCCTTCCACCCGTCCCTCCCCGCCATCTTGGCGAAAACTCCAGGAATGAGAAGGTAGAAAACAGCCCTGAAATTCAAGCAGAATTCAATGCCATTTCCAACTACGTAAGAGGCGAATGTAGGGACTCTTATGTCCAAGAATCTCCAGGTTTGGGCGACCACGATGTCGGTTTCATAGGGATATTTTGCGAGAACGTGAACGGCAAAGCTGACGAGAGCCAGGAAGTCCGGCAGCCTCGAGGAGTCCTTCCACGCAAAGTTGTAGAGAGTTGCTAAAGTAAGTACGAATGCAATCATCGTGAATTCGGATTGTGGAGTCCACTGGTGTGCAATTACAGGATAGATCATGAGATTCAGCAGGAGGGCTAGGAAAAAGTGACCGTAGGGCTTGAGATTATTCCTGCAGAACTGGTACTCAGCCTCATCGGCGTTGAGATTACCACCGGAGTAGCTTATGAAGAGGCCAGACCAGTTGCGAAAATCGTGAAATTCTCGTTTACTCTGGAGCATCTGAAAGGTCGCCACCACCATGATGATGAATGAGAGGTAGTAGATTACCATTGGAACAAAGAGGACTAGGCTCTCAGTGCCGAAGAGGGAGTAAATGACGAGGAGGATTAGGGTCTGGAGGTTTGAGGTGAAGAAGGACTTGGCGTATGTTCCACCGCGTCTGCCAATTCTTTCGACAATCCACTCCCACATCCACTTGAGGGATTCCAGGGGGTGGACGAAGGGCCTCTGCAGGAGAGGTACATTCTCAAGCTCCATTCGTGTCTGATTCACCGTGCAGAGGGCTCTTGACACTGTCGGCAGAAGTCCACGGGCGTAACTTGTTGCTGCGGACACCAGCGCTGCCTCGGTTATCTTTTCACCCTGATGATCAAAGCTCTCGGGGTATTCCAGTGATCGGTGGGTACTCTCGTCAACTCCACTGCTCTCGGAATTGCCCTCGGAGTGCAGGGAGTCATCGTCGGAGTCACTTCGCGATCTGTCGCGAATTGTTCTTAATTGACGCCTCAGTTGGTCCATTGTCACGAAGTCCTCGCCGTTGGATAAACTCGAGAATAATTCACGCGCCGCACGTCTCGCCAGTTTCTCATCCTGCGGCATCTCGAGACAACTCTTTGCATCGTAATAGTTGTGTTCTGTTATGCCGTGTCCCGTTTCTAGGCATTTTTTCAGGATCTCTGTTGCCTCGATGTTACCTTGCTCCGAGGCCTTTGTCAACCAGTACACACCGAGCTTTGCATTCTCCTCTTTGTCTACGTCGCGCTCTTGGGAGGAGAGAGATTATTGTCAGAGATTTTCAGGCGGAGTGGATGAAACGGAATGGTCCAGTAAGTTTTTGGGTAAATGTGGAAAATGGACACTTTTGGTTTTCTTTTAAGGCCCGCGTGTATTATCTTTCGAATGTGATCTTGGTTGTTTTATTTTATTTTGATAATCTGAAATGTTCTGCATTTGCCATTCAGTTTTACATAGCCCTGGAGTCTTCAAAAATTGTGATTGCACATGGCAAAAAAACGTTGAAAAAGCTGAACATTTTCAAAGAGCGTTTTTGAATAATATTGGGAAATAAACCCAATAGGGAGGAAATTGGAAATTAATTATTTACAGTAGCTAATGGCTGTTCAGTCGTCATTTGTCTCAGTGGCCAATGCCTGTCCGATCGTTAGTTGCCGTGATAAATTATATATTTACAATTTCCTCTCTGTCGGACTTATTTCTCAATCTTTATTAAAAATGCTCTTTGAAAATGTTCAGCTTTTTTTCTAGTTTGATTGTGCAATCATAATTTTTAGGAACACGTTCGTGATTTAAAATCCAGTGGGAATTGTGATATATTTTAAATTATGAAAATGGAAAAATAATCGAGATAACGATGGAAAGATAATCCATCCGGACCTTAAATGCTCGTCACAACAAGGAATTTATTAATGAATTTATTTGTTCAGTCGAGACCATCATTAAGGAAAAGAATTTTTCCGTACTGATCTTCACTTTTCCTCGTCCGGGGATTGGTATCGGCCCTCTCCCAAACTCGTGAAACTTAAAACCATTACGGGAAAAATGGAACAAAATAACGGAAAAAACTACAGAGAAAACCCCATGGCACTCGCCCTGAAATATACTATTATCTTCCATGGAGCAAAAAAATCAGCCCATCTTGGGCGAAATTCCATGAGAGTGACACTTCAAAAAAATCAAAAGTGTTCAGTTTAGCCCACTCGGCTCTAAATGCCGTTATGGCCCTGCAGAGTAGCTATAGTTCTCGTTCTTTATGAAGATTAAGAGAATAGAAAAATCTACAGAATAAACCGTCACGGTTTGAATGCAATAATAAAAAAAAAGAGAATAGAAAATCGATGAATTTCCAAAATTTTAATTACATTGAACACAATTACATTGAATCTCTTGAGCTACTATGTAAACTTTTTCCAAAATAACTATATTCCTTATTGTCTTTAGAAAAATTCAGTAGCGAAGTGGTAAAAGGAGATAAGTGCATTTTTTTCAAAATTCCTAATTTTATTATTATCATTTGAAAATTAATATTTCAATGTGTTTCACGTAAAATTTTTTACTCTTTTTTAAATGCACTTATCTCCTTTTAGCACTTCGCTAGTGAATTGATATATCAGAACGATCTATGCAGTAGCGAAGTAATGAAGGGTAGCAAAAGATGTTGAAATTTCCAAGAAATTTTCATTGTGAAGTTCATAAAAAAATGAAAATTGTTGGAAATTTGGGGCATTCAGACGAAAATTGTTGGTAATTATTAATCTCTTTAAAGTTCAATTTAATTGAATGTTCAATTCCACAATGAGTTGAAAATTTCAAGCTGTCGTTGAAATATCAATGATCGCTCAACATAACTCAATTTTTTTCCATTTTCAATTTGCCCTTCAGTTATTAGATATGCATTGAACAAAATGAAGTCTGAGATGAATTGAGTCATCTCGTTTTACAACTTCACCGCTCAATTTCTGTTACGGTTCACTTATTCAGGATCAGGTAACGTTTCGTTACTTTTTATGCTACTCTGCAGCTATAACGATGCAGTTCTCAAACAAGGCTTGTTGGGACCAAAATTATGACAAGTTAAAAATTACCAAAAAATGAATTCCTCTGATCTAAAAGTCCAAACTCTATTTATTATTAATCACTGAAACTACAAATGTATCGAGTTGGACGCACAAGAATGATTGAACTACGTAACTAATCTACATCAAATTAGCTCGTTTGGAATTTAACACAAAATGATTGTAGGGGACGGTGGGGTAAAACGGACACTTTGGACTTTTTTAAAATTATTCATAACTCAGAAACAAATTGATCAATTGAGCTCAGTTTAGGCTCGTCACAAAGAGAAAGAATTGTTCTTTGTATTGAAAAAAAAAGTTATTAAATTTTATCAACATTTCAACCCCTCATTGACATTAAAAAAAAAGTCAAGTGTCCGTTTTACCCCAACCTCCCCTACTTTTGCTGCAGAATAATTCTCAAGGTTTAAGTCATTACAATAAAAAAAACTAGACTCAATTTTTTTCGTAATTTTTAAACAACGATTTTTTCGGTTTAATCAAGACATATTTGAAAAAATATTTTCTTTCACTGTAGGAGAGAGTGGGGTAAAATGGACACTTTTTCATTTTTTTAGAATATTCACAACTCAGAAACAGATTTATCAATCGGGCTTGATCTAGATCATCACAAAGAGGATAAATTGATAAACTGTGTTTTTCATTGAAAAGAAAATTATTCCATTTCATCAACAATCCGATAAGTCAATGTCATTTGCATTGACATTGCAAAAAAAGTCAAAAGGGTCCATTAAACCCCGCCCACTCCTACAAAATTAATAAATACGAATCGCTGAAAAAACTGCATTCAGCAAAAACTAAAGTCCAATTGAGTGAAATTGAGTTATCTCACTGGTTTTGACACTAAACTATTGAATTTATGTCATGGCTCATTCATTTAGATTGTTTGGGTTTACTGTTAGGGGGTTTACATACCGCTGCGTTCCTCCAGCAATCGTTTTCCGAGGACTACTTGAGACTCCGCACAACCGTCCTCGGCCAGTTGAGATCTCAGGCCTCTGAGCGAGCCTCTAGGCCCGTCTGTTTAAAAATCGTCGAGGAATGAATGAGGAAATTGTTGTAATTTAGCGTTTGGTAAGTAGTGTTTAGACTCACCATGAGAAAACCACTGTTTCCGCACGGTTTTACCCGACAATGGCACAACTCCCGCCATTTCCCAGCGTCAATTCATGCAACACGCGTGAAAAACTTCATTCGGGGAATTATGAATGATTCGAAGAGTGATACAATTCACTGCGACAAGTGTCAATCGTATCTCAGAGGTGATGGTATTATTGAGAGGTTATTCATCTCTGTTGCTTGTGTTGTGATCACTAGTGCTGGGATTCCCTGGGAGAGGGCGACGCGAGCCCGCGTCGTTAGCGCTATTGAGGTTTCAAAAATCATTTCAATTTCAACTGATGCACTATCTACGCTTCCTGAAAATTGCAGTAACAAAAACCAATATTCGATTAACCACTCGTTGGGATTTATTGCGCTGCACTAGCACTATGGGGAAATCAACCGAAAAATCTATTCCATTTTCGATAGAAATTTATTACTCGCTGTTTTTACAGTTCTATTCAATCATACATAAATAAATTTCGGGGGGAAATTGAGTGCGTGGGGAGGGAACAATATGCAGGAGGGACTTATCAAATTAAGAATAAGAAGTTTTATTCTATGTGAGAACAGAGTAAGTTTGATAAATACGCTATTAAAAAGGAGGGGAGGTATGGAATAATCCGATAGAAAATACTAACGCTTTACCTGCTCTATTCGAAAATTACACTGGTTTATCCAATGAAATTTCAATTTTCACGTCCATATCGCAATGAAAATTATTGAAAATTTAGAAAATTAATGGAACTGTTTTTCGGGATTTTTAATCTATTTGAAAATTCAATTGAATGTGATCTTCAATTCTCATAATGAACTGGAGAATTCTAGCTGTTTTGAAATATCAATGATCGGGCGATATAAAAAAAACAATTTTGTTGGCTTTCCAATATGAATAAGGGATTCCATGAAGGATTTGATTAACTAACATTATAGTAAACGTCGATTGAATCTTCTATTAGAAAGTCTTCTTCAGAATATTGCAATGTACAACAAAAATTTCAGTGAAAAAAAAATTCTGTAGTATCCTCTTCTATCACACATTTCCTATAAATACTCCTATAAAAAACACGTGTCACCGCGGCTGGATTTCTAAATGCCCTAGAGTTCTCTCTGGAATTTCCCCACACGTGTGCCAATTAAAGTTCTCAATTCTCAACTGAATACAACTATCTCCCCCCATAAAAACAGAATATGTTGATTGTTCCCGAACTGTTTTTCGGGATTTTTAATCTATTTGAAAATTCAATTGAATGTGATCTTCAATTTTCATAATGAACTGATCAATCAATGATCGGGCGATATAAAAAAACAATTTTGTTGGCTTTCCAATATGAATAAGGGATTCCATGAAGGATTTGATTAACTAACATTATAGTAAACGTCGATTGAATCCTCTATTAGAAAGTCTTCCTCAGAATATTGCAATGTACGACAAAAATTTCAGTGAAAACAAAAAATTCTGCAGCATCCTTTTCTATCACACATTTCCTATAAATACTCCCATAAAAAACACGTGTCACCGTGGCTGGATTTCTAAATGCCCTAGAGTTCTCTCTGGAATTTCCCCACACGTGTGCCAATTAAAGTTCTCAATTCTCAACTGAATACAACTATCTCCCCCCATAAAAACAGAATATGTTGATTGTTCCCGAACTGTTTTTCGGGATTTTTAATCTATTTGAAAATTCAATTGAATGTGATCTTCAATTTTCATAATGAACTGATCAATCAATGATCGGGCGATATAAAAAAACAATTTTGTTGGCTTTCCAATATGAATAAGGGATTCCATGAAGGATTTGATTAACTAACATTATAGTAAACGTCGATTGAATCCTCTATTAGAAAGTCTTCCTCAGAATATTGCAATGTACGACAGAAATTTCAGTGAAAACAAAAAATTCTGCAGCATCCTTTTCTATCACACATTTCCTATAAATACTCCCATAAAAAACACGTGTCACCGCGGCTGGATTTCTAAATGCCCTAGAGTTCTCTCTCGAATTTCCCCACACGTGTGTCAATTAAAGTTCTCAATTCTCAGCTGAATCCAACTATCTCCCCCCATAAAAACAGAATATGTTGATTTTTAATTAACAAACTATTTGTGACTTGCGTCGCGGTCCCCACAAGATTGATCCCCAGTTCCATAAGTTTAAGGAGAATAGTCAAACTCCTGCATTCAACTACAGCATTAACCGTGTAACAATGGAAAACGAGAACATATAGACGGTGAGTGGGTGGGCGGTTGGAAGGAGGAGGTGGGAGCCCAGAGAGTTGAAGACGGAAGTTTCGTTGGTAAAAGTTTCTAGGCAGTGAGTACAACAGCCCTGTACAAGCAGGGTCCCTGAAGGCTTGTCTGTCTGAGCCCCGGCCATACGACTCCTACAATCCTCTTGCCCTCGGGACTCGGTGATGCTGGATGTCGAGTGTGTACTTCACGCCTGTACTCGATATCCATGAATCTCTTTCGTTGCTCACCCGTATCCAGCACAAGGGGTTGCTCCCTTGCTAAACAAGCCCAAGCTAGGCGTGAACTTGCTAAACAGTAATTACGCAATTGTTTGCATTTACCGATGCATGGATAATCGTACAGGGTGTTGGCTAGTTGTGACATAACGCGTAAACAAACGTCATTTGTGCCGCTTTGAAAACCAGTTGTTGCCAATTGTCGTCTCATGCACAGCTCTATGTCATCCGACAATTGACAGCTGTGCGAATCATTGTCGATAACTGGTCCTGACAGTATGTATGATGCTTCCCTTTTACGTCCGCTCTGAATACTGTCAGCTATTCGCCACGACAACTGTAATCAATTTCAATCATTAGTTTGTTTCATGTTCGTTAATTGAGACTATTGAGATTAATGTTGCGGTTTTTTTTTCATAAGGGGGAGGACACGGACGTATATCATTTTTATGATGGAGTCATATCTCACGAAGTGGAAATGTAAGAGTGAAATAATTTTTATCAATTGAATGAAAACTACTTCCTGGCCATTCGGCTGGCTGAATCGCCGGGTGAAAAGTTGGAGATTAATATTCTATTATAAATCCCCCGGTATTCACTCAAAATCCATTAGAATCTGCATATGAAAGTGCATTCAAACAGCGCCGACCTCAATTTTCTCAGTTTGGTTTAATAGGGTTTTACTTTGGCTCGTGAGATGATTTTTTTTTTCGGAAATTCATTTTCATCGAATGTTTCGAATGTTTATTGGGGAGAATTGTATTCTCTCACGCTCGTGTTTTCCTAGTTCCGGTAGTTTCACTTTGCCATATATAATACATCATATATTCGGAAAGTTACCTTTTTAAAGGGTAAAATTAATTATTCATTATGCTTACCACAAGGATGAAAGAAAGGTCATTACTGAGAACTTGAGACCTGATTTTCTATGTTTTTTATTCAATAGGATTTTGCTTCTGGTTCGTGACATGTTTGTTCGTTAAAAAATATCTTCTCATTGAATGTTTTATTTATCAAGAATATCATTCCCACGTTCGTGTTTTCCTAATTCGACTAGTTTCACTTCACCATAATCTATCATGGTTCATAAAATTTACCTCATTGAAGCGTAGAACGAAGGATTCATTGTTCTTACGTCGAGAACGGAACAAGAGAGTCTCGAGAGTCAAGAAGGTCTGGATAGTGATATTACATCATTCATAAACTTAATGGAGGCCTCAACAGGGATATACAATTATTTGTTTTAGAATGAGAGATGGTGAGGACCCTCTTGACCCTCCGAACCCTTGTAAACTCGACTTTGCGAAGGGTCGTCGCCTTCCGACTTGAGACATACAATGTGATATGACTATTAACCCCTCACGGACGGGGCCCTTTTGTTTCCAAGCGTAGAGTACGCTCGATACAACTAGAACATAACGACTTCTAATCAATGCAAAATTATGAAACTGATATGTAATTGAAGTTACAGTATTCCTTTTCTCGTTGTTATTTGTTTAGTTGAGTTAAATTCCATAGTTCTGGAAATAATCAATTTTAAAGTGAGACTTTCACTCATGTCATAGTGCGCAAAAGTGAATTCCGACCAAAAAAATACAAAAACTACGATATTTCGAAAAATTTCAATGGGATGTCACGGTTCATGACATTCCTAGGCATTTTCTCCAAAATTAAGAAATCGAAAAAAATCACGATTACAAAGCTTCCATTCGGAGGCAAAAACAAAAGTCATCAATTTTCTGTCAGTGGTCCGTTTTGCCCTAGGGGTCCATTTTACCTGCGGTTGGTTTTGTCCATTTTGCCCTCCCCTCCCCTACAATATGACTGTTCAGGAATCGACTCCTGAATTTCCACGGTTTACATGAAAAAAACCTCATCGAATGTTTCCTCCACCCTAAAAACGACACTCTCCCACGTTCGAATTCTCCTACTTCAGCCAGTTCCCCTCCACCCTAATCCATCGCAGTTTACAAAATTTACCCCATTAAACCATAAAACGACGTATTCATTATTCTCACCACAAGAACGGAGAAAAGAATTTTAAACTTCAGATCCGTGGCGTTCTTAAGTGGCTCAAGTGCATCCAGGGCGTCCAGTGTATGTAAATGTGCATGAGTATACAGTGAAACATATCTGTCAGTTAAATCCTCAACCGTCATCAAGGAAAATGAATGTGAATCTCCAATTGATACGAGTAATTCAGGCTTGACTACTCTCGTTGCATCATTCTCTCTATAATCCGATGTATTTTCCAAACACCTGTGGTAATCCACAGTGGGTTCAGGTGTCGGACTGCAACTGTCGTCCGTGTGATAACCAGCGCTGCTGGATTCAGCCGCTGTCACATCGTATCTATCGTCCTCAATTACAGTTGAGAAGAATTCACCGCACCAACTGGATGTCTATTAATCAATCAATGGAGCCATTGAGTTTATCAATTAACTCAGGAATAACCGCAAAAAATTCTTCCCCTGAAAAGAAGGGGGAAAAAAATTAATTATCAAGAGTACTAACCGATTCAGCGGAGCCTGACAGTCCATTCATCAACTGCAAGGCCAATCCACAAGCTTTGGAAAATTGAAGTAGCCTCGAAGCGAGAGCTGGCTGTTCCTTACAGCCCTCACCACCCCTAAACTTCTCGCCAGAAGTCTTCCTGAGCGAGGTCCATTGGCGCAGTGCCTCTTTGTCCTGCTCAACTCGCCTTGACAATTCATCCGATAACTCCTCCAAATTACGTCCAACCGCTTTCTCCAGAGTATTCAACAGGCTTTGATTGTCAATGAGCCGCTGCTGTACCTCGCTGTACTTCAGGGACAGCAATCGCTGATGCGAGGCAGATCGCAGTCCATGGGGATCCCCTGAAGTAACTCTCGTGAAATTGCATTGCTCGGATAAATGCAGAATCAGGGCGGAGGATGAAAGGGAATACATAAACCAAAAAACGTGGAGAATACTGACCTTTCGAGCGTCTTATCGCATCCTTTCCCAAGTTTTCAATCTTGTGCAGAGCAAGTTTGTAAGCATCGATCCGCAACTCGAGTTCCTCCCTGAGTTTAGACGTCAATGGTAGCAAATGAGTCTCCACGGACTGTCCAATACGTTTTTCTTCACTCCTCACTGGGCACGGTATTGGTCCATGTTTACCCAGTCCCTCAATCGCTTCGTCCAGTGATTTCTTGCGATTAACCACTAGAATACGCGCATTAGGATTTACTCTTGATAAAGTCAGTAGCAATTTACCCCAGTTACGTAGACCCCGGTTATCCGGGCTCTGTGATATGAGGTGAATAATTTTCCAAAGCACTTGGTCAACTCTGAGTAATCGGATCAGGTCATTCTGGTTAATATTCTCCATATCCGCAAAACGTTGATAAAGTGTCTCGAGTAGTGCCAAACTGCGGGGCAATGTTTCTATCACGAGGTCCACTGGTATATTGGGTAGTGTTGATGCCAGTGTGTAACGAGGCAATTTACCGAGAAAATTTGCTGCCTCACGGTACTGTCTACCCTCGTACAGTCTCAGCAATCTGGAAAACACCATCGTTACGACGGATTACGGAAGGAGTATGAGGATTTGAATGGTTTTACGGGGATTGAGATATAGAAAATGCACGACATTCAGGAGATTCTCGAAATCCAATTGCCTCTGGCGCAAATCCTTCCTTCCCGCTTTCACGGTATCTCTCTCTTCGCTTGTTCCAATTGTCAAGAATCCTCGGTTTGAAATTCTGTTGTTTGAATTAGGGGGAAAATATTGCCCATCAAATTTACGTTGGATGATGCTGAATTGTTAGTGGGTATAAAACTATTCTATTCGTTCAGTGTGAGGTATAAAGTTTATAAACTGGCGTGGGAGATAAATTCACACGAGTTGGAATATATTTGCGTGGTCGTGTGTGTTGTGTATGGGTTGCTTTTGTATTATTTGTATTCGCGGGTTTAGCGCCGTGACCTGTACCTATATCCCATCCTCTTGCTACCACTTCAACTATTTGAGATTCATTCTTGTTATTCATTTGCATACTGAATAAGCAATGGTAACCATTGAGACCATTAATCAGAGCGAAATATTAAAAACGTTTCGGAGATGTTTGAATGTGAACATAATGTAGTATGCAATGTTGAAATTTTTTTGGCACGTTACGGTTCCGATGAAATTTCACGGAATTTTGTCATTGGAAAATCAAAATTTTGGGGGATAATCAATGGAAACTGTAAATTTCAGTATAAATACTGAATTTGAATACACGAAAATTAATAGAATTCAGGAAAATTCAGGGTACTTTAGTACTAAATATTCATGTTTTCATTGAAATTCAAGTAAACTGGGATATTATCGTCTTTTCCCTGTTAAAAAATGAAATTTCATTGAATTTCCTATGAATGTTTTCCCTAAATTGAATTCAATCCGTTATTTCAGTTTTCACGTCCATGAAATTTCATTTTTTTTCAATAATGTACGGAGAGAAATGTTGAAGGAAAATTGTCCAGAAATTCCCGGCAAATTTGACTGTTCGAAAAGTAACTAACCGACAACGGTGGCCGAAGTGATTAAGGCGTCACCTGGCTGGATGAACGGCCTCGTGCGGCGCGGTTTTGAAAATCAAAAAAATTTATTCTCTGTTTCTCAAGGGTATACTGATATTCAGGCAAATGGGAATTTACTCGGTAGAATTATTCTATAACTTCATCATTAGTCTACGGATGTGAAACCAATTAATAATGCTGCAATACATGTAATCTAGCGAATCGATCATTTAGACACTGAATATCCCGTAAATGTTAACGATCGAACCGATTGATCCTACCGAAATATTGAAAACATTCTGGATATGTTTGGAACACAATGCAGTACTGATATTGAGCGGAATATGTTGAATGGATGATCGTTCACTGAATGGGTTGTACCATCATTCTATTGAAAACTTACAGATATGAACAGCGAAGAAGGCAGTAGTCGATATAAATCGCATAAAATGGAACGTAGCCGCATCATTGCACGTCCTGTGAATAAAAGCCAGCGCATTGATTCGTTTTTTTGTTGAGTATAAGTGAAAAAGCTCCTCCACTACTTCCTCTCAAAATTAATTTTTGATAATTATTTGCATTCGGAGTGGGTAACGTTATCAATTGAGACGATTCATCAGAGTAGAGTGTTCAAAACATTTCGAGATAATAGGCCATAAACATAATAGGGTCCTGGTATTGAATGAAATAGTTATTTTTAATGAACGATCCCTCATTGAAGAATGATTTATTCTCTACTCCCATTGAGAATCTACAGATATTAGCGACAACCAGTGCCACTTCATGCAATATACTCAACATATTTAGTTCCGATATTCCGCGAAATATGTTGAATGAATGATGGCCCACTGAATGCAATGAATGCAGCATTCGATATAATATGCATCACCTTTATGAAAGCAATACATAGGTGACATATATCAGACAACACGCATTCATATCACTCTACATCCAGCAAAAAGGTAGCAATCCATCGATTCATTTCGTCCACAGAGCGTGAGTGAAAGGGTTTCCTCGCTACTTCCTCCGAAAAATCCGTTCTCAGAAAAATTTTGAAAACATTCCAGACATTCCGCAATAAAAATAATGAACTCCCGATGTTGAATGAAATATGTCGAAGAGCCGATCTCTTTTATTGAATCATTCTACTCAAAACTAATATACATAAAATGTATTATAATCTAGTGTGAAAGGGCCAATGCATTGATTTATTATTTTTTTTTAAAATTAATTAAATGAATGAAAAAGCTCCTCCACTACTTTCTCTCAAAATAAATTCTTGATAATTAATTGCATTTGAATGTGTAACGTTAACAATTGAGACGATTCATCATAGTAGAATATTCAAAACATTCCGTAATAAAAATAATGAACTCCCGATATCAAATGAAATATGTCGAACGACTGATCTCTTTTACCGAATCATTGTACTTGAAATTTACAGACATGAACAGCGAAGAATGCAGTAGTCAATTTCATGTGCATAAAATGTACTATATTGCAGGTACCCGAGTCGAGGATTTGGTTCTGATTGGACGTACACAGGTCTTTCAAGATCTCTCCAGACCTAGATGGACCTGGTAAGTCCTAATCAGTTCTGCGACGTACTTTTCCAGAGACCATTCGAATCCTCAGTTCTTTTCGGTCCTGAGAAGTCCTCCTCGATGCTACCGAGAACGCGTGATTTTACGAGCGGGTGAAGGGGAAGGCATGTATGCGGAGGGTTGAAATTTGTAGCCAACGAGGAGACAGGGTTGCAGAATATATTTTAGCC